ACAAAAGTTTTTTTACGACGCATACCGTCCATATAAAACTTGAAACTCTGTTGACGATCATTGTTATTAGCTATATGTCTAACTTGAACAAGCTTCAGTTTGAGCTCTTCTTCGGTCGAAGTCGACAAAATCATGAAATCGTCTGTAACTTCCGATTCAATTAATATTTTTGAAAAAGCTTTTCGAAAGCTGAAATTAAATCCCATTTCAAGCCAACTACATAACTTTACGCCGTAACTCTATATTATAAGGTTGTAGGGTGTATGCCACGCAAAAATCTATTTTTTTTTTTTTCCAACATCCGTTCCATTTATTTGTCCTCCTACATTTACATCACGATTTTTCAGGGATTCCGTCTTGTATGTTTTACGACGAGATACGCGCGCGCGTGCACTGTATTGCAAGTGTACACGCCAATTTCGCGGATAATAATATATATGTATATGCACGTAGATTGTCGTTTCTTTTGAAAGGGACGCGGTCATCATCAAAGAGCTACATTACTGAGGTCCTTTTTCCTGCGATCCCTCATTTCCATACGAAAATATATACTCGTGTAGAAAACCAATCATGCAGTAGTATATAGCATCAGAGAAGCAAGCTGGATATTTTTCGTTGTCGTAATCAGCGATAGCGATAACGCACCAGCACCACCCAATTTTTTAAAAACACACGTACGTAAGTAGGTATTAGTAAAACAACATATTTTACAATAAGCTTGGCGATTAGCAGTAACGGGAAAAATCTGCGCCATCGAGAGCCATCAGCGACTGGTTGAACAACATTTTCTTACGTACGGTCCGGAGACCCATGCATTTGTTAGGTTTGTTTGGTGTAACTTTATCAAAGCAACCCCGATAAGATTTAATCCAAACCAGAGGAAAATGGCTGTTTGAAATTTTTTTTTTTTTTTTTTTTTAATCTTTTATTTCACGTAGCTACATGAAGGTCCTCTCAAGAAAGTTTTACACCCACAACTCCGCGTTATTCGATTAATTGTAAATCAATCAAATTCAAAAGCCCTGGCCACGGGCAGAGAATAATATTGATCTTGTGATAATATACTTGTATCGCGTAAGATTACAACGATGATTACATGTTTTTTTTTTTTTTTTGCTAATGAGGCTCGGTTGGATAAATTTGACCGATTGATGCTTGATACCTATAGTATTATATTATGTACCGTCGTAAACATGTCTAATTGTTTTTGAACTCTTACTTCCGATGGGCGTGGTATACTTACATACCTTCTGTGACTGAAGAGTTTCTACAGTAGATTTATCCGTGGAAATTTTCCAAAATGATGAGACACAGTTGGAAAGCAATTGCAAATTTGTTGGAGCTGACTTCGAAAAAGGCGTGTCATTTTACACAAGCACAAGAATTTTTTGTTAAAAAATACATGAAAACAATCCTTGAGAGAAAAAAAAAAAAAAAAAAAAAAAAAAAAAAAAAAAAATCCGGAACTGTGAGAAAAAATAAAAATTGAATGAAACATGACTAATTACACGTCATGCACTTTTTCTGAATCACATATCTTTGTGTTTCACATAGATAGGAGATCGTACAAAAGGCAAAGAGAACTATAACATCTTGTTGTTGTTTTTTTCTGAATAGAAATATTTTGTCATCAAGTTTTGTAAATGACATACTGTACTCGTATCTTCTTGCGCAACGTCAGCGCCGTTGTCTCTATTTTGTAAAAAACGCGTTAGTACCTCTTTTTTTTTCCTTATAATAGGTATAGGTATACAATACACGGCACGCTTCACGATTCCGGCGCCTTACGTGATGACCAGATGATACACCGGGTATTGTTTTCCACCTCTACATTACGCTGCTGTACAACATATTATTATAATAGCTTTGCTGGCATGGTGCTTGTGATCAACGAGTATATACGTAACACGTAATATTTTCGCTGACTGAAATTTTATCAAACCGTTGTACATTGAAGAAATAAATCATTCAACGCGATCGTAGTATACGCGTGACATGGAATTTCAGTATCAAATGTGCATTATTTAGATTTACATATAATATGCTTATCGTGCATGAGCGACTACACGCGTATAGATTTGTCGCGTGACTTTTATTATTATCGCACAAACTTTCCAAACCAACTTCCACACTATCGCATCGGCTGTGACTCACACTGAGCACAATGTCATATAATTATCAAAAATGTTCGTAGAGTGTTTTTTTTTTTTTCATACCATATTCCGCCGATTGAGCGAAATGTTTCGTCTATAAAAAAAAAAAAAAAAAAATAATTGAGTCTTACAAATTGGAACGTTATGCATAAATTTCCATGATTTATACGAATATGAGGAAAAAAGGTGCCCATAAAGTTTTTTGTTGGTGGTTCGTCGGCCTCTCGATCGGCTGTGAAACAATTTTCATCCAAACGCGATTGTCATTATTGAATCTTGAGCAATTGAACGATTCTTCCTTATCAATTAAACGCGAGTCACTTAAAAAATGTTGCAATCAAGAAAGTTCTTACAATATAAATATTGCGCTTCTGTACAATTCAAGTCCGCGCGGCAGCGAAAAAAAGGGGGACTGTCGGATGTTTTTCGTTTGGGGGTTTTTTTTTCCGCGCACGTTTCACGATACGACAGCTCAGTCGTGCGCAAATCACGTTTAATTAATATTAGTTTGAAAAGAAAAGAGAGGAAAACGCGCGCGCTCGTCGAGGAAAAACAATTTTACCGATTTCTCTCCCGTTACACCAAGTGCCATTTTTGTCCATATCTTTTCTTTCCTCCCAGGGTCTATTGGTGATTGGCCATGATGTCGAGAAGCACGACTGCGCCTAAAACAGTGGTAGAAATATTGCGCGGTACAGTTGTATAACGTAAACGATAATTGTCCATTATGTTGTTGCATACGCACTTACACCGAGGAAAGTACCATTACTTTTGGTTTTTCCAATACGTGTATAGGAATGATTTTGTCAGAACAGCGTTACACGATACTTGTAGTTTTAAAAAATTGATAAAGAAATAATTCTGTACGTTAACGATACGTTGGAAATAATGGTACTTCTCGGTTGCACAATATAAGTAATGAAATTCTTTGACCGTTTGCTCAAGAAAACTCATTCAGTCGCTGTATTTGTTAAGCGATTGTATCAATTCTTTTGGTATAAAGTAACATAGAATGATTATTTTAAGTTAAAAGTATCACGGATCAGGAAAGGAAATCCTAAATTTTAAATTTTGTCGATAAAATTTCAAAGACGTAGTATACGGCACTGTCCTAATTTGAAATAAGTGTCTATAAAGCCTGATAAAAGTGGTTTGGTGTACCTTGGCTCTCGGATTTTTAGGACGGTAGTACTACTTACTTTTTTCTACACGCGTAAAGTGATAACTCGCTCACTTACCTATTTTTGTTTCAATGCGTAAGTACACGCGTGAAATCATCGATTGTACCTATATACACATACTGATTATTTTGGAGGACACACAGACGCGAGGTGCGAGAAGTATATAGGTCCAAATACCCGAGTACAGTGTTATCTACATACATATAGTTGCGAAAAAGAGCTCAGTTTGTACTGTACGTATATATACATATAAGGCAATTCTCGTGCTAACGCCAACTCACTCGAGACACTTTTATCTTACACGTAGCTGTACTCTATACGCGACACTTGGATTCTACTTCTTTTGTATTCTTATTCGATGATCCTTCAACGTGGAGACGATTTTTTTTTTCAAGCAATCATGTCAAATGCCACAAAAAATCAACATTTATCGAAAATTTAATGTTTGTTTTAACACTTTCACGTACGAGGGACTTGCTTTACTAACTATCCTGCTGAGAATAAAAAAAAATCTTGAACGAGCAAACGATGACGAAGAATACGTTTTAAAGTTTTAGAAATAAAACAAATGACAAATCGAGACACGTGAAAAACATTGTTTGCCAGTTCTTTATGACTCATTGAGTGGAGCTTGTGTGCTGCATATTTGTACTACTTGGTTGTTATTATTTTTTTAAGTACAGATATTATGTAAGTGATTAAAAAAAAAAAAAAAAAAATCGTGATCATCCTTCAAAGTCGACGTGACATGCTTTTTAGAAATATGAATAAAAAAAAATTTTTTTGCCGTGCAGTGGCTGATTGTTCGTAAACTTTGTTACGTAAATGATAGTGCTTCTGATGAACAGACACTTTGAGTTGTACATGACGATGATTCGACGACGCACGTCAGATAAAAAATAAATATATACATGCACGAGATAATAAATCCATGCAATGTCCTTAATCAAATAGCTAAAATCAAAAGTGACGATTTAAATTTATTTTTTATAGAAGGTATGTTACAGAGCATTGGATTAATCGCAAATCATACAAATTAATTAACCATTTACCTCGTTCCCCCATACTCTATTTTATAAAATAATAACAAAAATCCGCGTAAAGGTTATTTCAGTAAGCGAGAAACAAGCTGTAAACATCTCTCGTGCGACGGTCGAGCTTTTTTTTTACTCATCCCAAGTTAAACGATGAATAAAATTAATTGCTAAAATATGTCGCTGTCGCACGTGCGCCATCATCTTCGCGCCATTAGATGCAAATGTAATCACCGTTGAAGCGCGAATAATCGTTTTGGATTACGATGACGTTCGAGTACATATTTATACGCGGGGAATAGGTACTACTTCCTTCGGGTGAATTTCACGAGGAAAACAACCGCAAATACACAACTTGGCTTACGTATACACTTAGCTCATACACGTTTTTCCGCGCAATATTGAGTGACTTTACTTTTGCGATTGTCCTGCGCCAAACAACGTTATTTACCAGGAAACGTTCATTCGACTCGTACAAAATTGCAGAGGAAACCGTTTTCTCCTCCGGATAAACATGTACTGATGGTTGTATGCAAAAGCCAATACGCTCGGGAGTATATATCGTTAAAATAAAATTATTAATTTTGTCACTGAGAAAAAAGTGTTCCCAAAATGAAAAATGCATTTTTCAGCATCGAGTGATCGTCGTATCGAAACAAACGCAAGTAGGATCGGATAGAGAAAAAAAGGAAAAAAGATGCGAAAAATCGGTAAAGCTTCGGTGGTCGTCGAGTCGGAGAACGGTCTGAAGAACGGGACGGCGAGCAGCCCCGTGGACTCGTCGCCGGTGCGCAACAATTGCCAACAGAGCCCCGGCAGCATCCTCGAGGAGATATTTTACATATCGTCGAAGCGCAGTAGCCTGTACAGGGTCAGGCTGACCGAGCGCTGCCTCAGCTTGCGGAAGGAGAGCAGCACCGGACCCACCAAGACCGAGTCCATACTCATCGACGACATCGTCGGCTGCCGGTACGTTGGTTCACGCTTCTTCTTCTTCTTTGCACATCAATTTTTTTAGTGCTATTGCATCGTGAATATATATATAAAAAAAAACAAAAAAAAAAAAAAAAAAGATTCGAGTCGAAAACGTATCCTTAAATTTCGTAAATGTACTTACGAAATAGCGTTTACTAAAGTACAGAAATTCTATATACATACCGTTACAATCACGACATTATTATTTTTCTGTAAAAAATTGAAAAACAAGGATTCTACGCCTTTCTTTTCCTCTTCGATCGAGGCGTGGATGCGCGCCCACGTGTTTACAATGACCTTGGCCGACGAAAATTTGCCGAGTCGGTGAAAGGAATACAGAGTATACCGGCGACCCTGACGATCGCGTTGTTTATTAATTGTATACAGAGAGAGAGAGAGAGAGAGCCTCCACTCGGTGTTCTCCCCCTTTCTCGTCGTTCACGCACGTTCACAAACGATCGGTTTCATTCGTTTTATCTTAAACGATGGGCTCGTGCGAGAGCCTGTTTTGCGAAACCGCAGCGTTTTCAGGAAGAAACTAATTCATCGACACCCATCTTTTGGCATTTCTATTATTTTTTCTCTCTCTCTCTCTTGACTGAAATCGGTAACGTGTGCATACATATGCAGTAGGAGACGATAAAATGCTTGAAAATTGCAGGTGCATGAGATCGAAGCGCAGCAACACGGGCAGCTGCGCGTGCCGAGTGGCGAGAAGCCAGTCGCGGCTGGTCGAGTCTACTGAGCCGATACAGCCGCACGACGAGTACGACACCTCGGCCTACCTCTTCATCTACGCTTACATCCTCAAACGGGCGCACAAGGACCCGACGAACGGCCGGCCGAGGCGGCGCGAGCGCATGACCATAACACTGAGGTTTCGCAGCTTCGACAGGTACGAGGACAATTGGCGCGAGGCCAGTCGCTGGAGGCTCGCCATCATGTGCCTCGTCAATCGGCTCCCCGTGCCCAGGCCCTACATGAGCCCCACCCACCGCAACCTACAGTCTTTGCTCAGCGGTGAGTCAGAGGCCTTTTTTTTTTTTTTCTTTCTTTCTTTCTTATTTCTTTCCATACAGCCAAGTGACTCTAGCAAAAGGGGGGGAGGGGCCAGTTTCTTTGCACCACGTATACAAGCTCCCATATATGATTGAATTAGAAGCGAACCAACCGAGTATAATACATGCCTATACTCATATGTCGTGTGCCCAAAGACGAGGCTGGATTTGTTCGATGAACGCGCACACTTTCTTGCATCTGCGTGTCGGTGCAAATCTTCGCGAGTGTGAAGAAAAATCTTCACTGATGATATATATATATTATGTTCACGCGTGTACAACATATTGAAAGTCATTCGGCTTCGCGTGTTGGATTGAAAGCGATTTTTCAGATCATCTGCATCGTTGATTATCTCTTGCGTGCGGTCTATCGATAGCACCTACGCCAAATGAATTAACAATAACAACAATCATCTCTATATTATTAGTGCTTGAAACACTTGTTTGATAGCTGAGTGCGCATCACCTGTGTAGTAGGTAATATATTTTTTTTTTCACCTGCTCTGATTTTATCCGTAAATAGAAGCCATCACCTACAACAGTGAAAATTCACGCACTCTGATGGATACGTATGGTTACGAAAATTTCAAGATTTTTGAACAAGCATTGTAGATAATAACCAAGTTTTATCGTCGTTATATCGATCGGATTTTTTTTTTTTTTTTTTTCTCTCTAAGAATCGATCACAATCTCATTGGGCCGTAAAATCGATGATTGTGTGCTTCCCCACCCGAACATTATCTTCTAAACACACAACGTACGACTCGGAGATCGTATTTACTTTTCTTATTGTATTACACACGCTCGCGCGTAGCTGCTTTTAGAATCATCACCAGACATAACAATATTTCCTCTGGTCAAAGACAATCGTCGTAGGATTCGATAAAAACCGCGATGAACGAGACGTAGATACTTACCATGATGTAACATTAAGAATCACGGATGTGGCCGGAATTTTAACTGTTTGGGCGTACGGAAATACGCAGATGATATACCTGATCCGTATGGGTTATTGAAAATTAACAAAATTAAATATATATATATATGTTTCAATAAGGTGCCACTGTGATATTTTTCCCTTCGATTTACGCCGTAAAATTGACAGATGTGCAAAAATCGATGGTCAAGCCTTAATTAGAGCATATCTTGTTCATAGGTAGTAAAAAATAATCACTTGAGTTTTCGTAAAAAAAAAAAAAAAAAAAAAAAAAAATGCGCCGATTTCACCTACGATTGAATAAACCTTTTATTTTACGATTGAACAAAATTCATCAAATCCAAATCATTGCAATTTTATTACTTTTTGATTAAATAAACGCTAATTCGGGATTAAAATTAAAAAACAAAAAAAAAAAAAAAAACAATGTTCAAAACGTTTCGTGAACGTTTGGTGCTATTACGGGTATACACACAGAGGAAGTCGATAACTCGCTGTTGCTCTACGTCCGCACGCTGTGCATGTATGCCGTGGGATATCACATTACGTTGCATCGCAGCGGTGAATCCTTTTTATTGTCTGCGCGCCGTGTTTTCCTACCAGTCCGATTTCACAATTCAAGTGGTTTTTTTTTTTTTTTTTTTTTTTTTTTGAGTTGTTACTTAACCCCCCGCACCCGTACACTGCATATATCGTACAACTACGTCAAAATGATATCTTTCATCGCTCTCTGTGATTCCTCTCGACTGTATAATCAGTGTGTACAGCACACGTATGTGTGGACCTATATACATTGGGCTATCGATTGCACTTGTCGGTTTTATACGGGTGTACACCTGCTCTGTCCGAGGGCGCAGCCCCTCTCGAGGTGGTAGACATAGGCGGCTTTTGTTGTAGCTGCAGGGCTTTCACGATCGGGGGGCGATCCAACGATTCGATGGTCCTCTTGGATTTTGTTTTTTATCTCGAAAAGTGGACGGGAGATCGTTACGTAAGGAGCTGCAGTTGCGCGTTTAGTTTGCGTAAATCGATGTCCGAACGGGGGGCTACACGAAGGCGTTTAGAGTTTAGTACATGCATGCACGGCCATAAATTTTCAGGAAACCTTGCGAGCCTATTTTTATTACCACGCCGCGTACCTAGAATTTTCGAGCTCGGCAAAACGCATACCGATCTCGCGACGGCGCGTTATCAACTATAGTATATGTATTTTGATTTCGTATATAAGTATTACTCTTTTTATCTTTTGAAGATCATGCAAACACGTTTGTCTCCCATAATAAATAAAGAATTATACCTAAGTGTTATTGTATTCGTTGTTAAATAATATTGGCTCCGATTGATGGCTACTCATACACGTAATATGTGTACCTCGATACACATAGACCTTGAAGCTTGGCCTGTATATTGTATCGTTGCGTGTACACAGTCGTCTGTTCAAAACTTGATTATTTGTTATTAACGCGGCGACACTTGCAAAAAATAACATCATCTCGTTACACTACGCGATCATCTTACGAGATATCTCGATAAAATCGGTAAAGCCATTTGGGGAAAATCTTCCTTATGCACATCTATTTGTCAATAAAAAAAAATAAATAAGAGAGTAATTAACAGCTGGTATGAATACACATACGTAATAAGATGGAGGAATCGGCGATCGATCGGATATTGATGGACGTCTGCCCTGAAAGAAAGAGAATGTAACAATTGAAAACTATTCGATGGCCGATCACGTGCTCGAGAGTAGTAGTAGAGAAGGAAAGACAGTATGTACAGGGTCACAATTGGTTAGAAGCACTGGAGATAAAATTACTACATAATAAATGCGTGTAGTTTTTCCCAACCAGTAAAATGGCCAAACGTGTACTTTTATCAGCCAAAACAACTTATCTTTCCAACGATTGGAATCGTTTGTATTAAATCGGCTAATCGTAATAAGTAGTATATAAAGTATATCGAAAAAGCACGAAGCATATGTATCATTGTGTTATTGGCTGTACGAGAGCTGCGGAGGTCCTTAGATTCCTTGCTCTAAAATGCAATGTTTCTATATGTACAGCTGCTTACGCGCGCACCCGACGTCAACGCGCCTCTTCGTACTCGCGCGTGTATGGATGATGCCACTGTACACCATTAGATTATGTAATGTCTGATTCATCATGTTCGTGTAGTGATTGTCGTGTACAGAGAGACGAGACGAGACAACGATCGACAAGGAATACGTAATATACGTATCATCTCTCCCGATGTAGTCAGTGCGTGGCGCGTTTTGCATACGATATAAGCTTGGTATTATTATTATTATTATTATTATTGTTATCATCATTGATACAGGCAGTACATAATATAGCATAATAGAGAGTGTGTTGTGTAACCGCAGAAGCGACACGGCCAACTTGTTGTGCCTCGTTGACCCTCCTTGATGCTCCTCATCCAAGAATTGGCAAAGATATTGTACGAACGGGAGAAACATGGGTTCACCAGGTGTCAAGCGTATTGTTACCTATGTACAACGTAAATTCAGTTAGCGCGTCCTGGGCACTCTTTGGTACAGACAAAACACAAATGATCATATAAGTCGCGTTGATTTGACACAAATATAAGCTATTAGGTACTAAAGTCGCGCGTATAACGTGATCGATCCCTCAACTCGATATCACGTAAAATATATTACATACGATACTTACGAGTAAGATCAATTGGCGATTTGGGTTACGAACGTTAATTTTTTCTCTCTCTCGATGTAACATTAATAGAAGTGTACGTGAACCACACCAGCCTTAGGTGTACCTATTTCCACTCCTAATACTCCGTGAAATAATAGCGCATCATACAATGATTCTTCCACGTTTTGTATCCATTTCATATTTCGAAAAACTGCAATTTTGTTGAAAAAACAAAAAAACCGATGGTTAATGTATCAAGACAATTAAAAGATCTTGTTTCTTGCATTAAATGAAAATGACATGGCCCTTTTCCATAATTCGAATCCTTGGTTTTTTTTTTCCGAACGAGATGTCATCTCGGTTAATTGCGTCTCATAAATCCTCATACATATAAATAGACCGTAAAAAAAAAAAAAAAAAAAAAAAAAAAAAAAAAAAAAAAAAAAAAAAAAAAAAAAAAAAAAAAAAAAGTTTATAACTGTATGATAAAGGCTGTATTGGAGGAACGAGTCGTCGATGGAGTCCTGGCGTGTTTTTGCACTTCTCCGATTATACAGCCATCATTACGGACGGCGTTAATTTAAGTTTCTTCGATTCGCCGACAGGAAAGAAAAAAAAAATCGCGCAACAGTGACGTTTTAGCGCGCGACGCCGAAACGTGCATAATCACCCATTATAGCAAAAATTAACGCATGGCCATTTATTGGCAACGTGAAAAGTAGGAGAAGAAGGAGAAAAGGTTTGTTAAGCGTATTGTGTGTTATTATAGTTAACAGTAGCCTTAAAGAACTCGTGGCGTAAGTATTATACGTGTGACTCAATTTTCTCTCGGAAAAAGCCATTAAAAGTTCCAGCAAAGATACACATGTTGCTCATATTTCGCGTATTCGAGATAAAAACTTGCCTCGCAATTATCGAGAGACAGAGAACGGAAAATTACAACCTTTTGCACGACCGAACCAAAAGAGCTCTTTGGCCGTGTATAATTCGACTCACAGAGAGTCAAGAAGAGCGAGAGTGCATACAATATATTTTTGTTGACGTCAAATGCAGCTGCAAATCACCACAGACTCGCGTGACTCTTACAACCCACGTGCACGTATACCTGTGTATGCACCGCGATCGGCAAACACATACATGCACTTGCGTCCGAATCCATCGTTATTTTCCAATTAAGCGATCCTGCGCACCTTTGTAGGCCGCAGCTCTTCCTTATCGCGACCAAAGCTTCCTCGTGCACCTATACAACGCGCGAGGCCGAATCGCCAAAGTAGGCCATCAGGCGGAACACGCGAATCCACGTATATGACCACCTAGCGAGCCTCCCCCCAAGAATCTGTGCTTTTCACATTATACATCGTGCAAATGACGCGACCGACCGAGAATCCCTTAAACTTTTCGTATAGGCACGTAAGTAATACATATAATAAATAACATAAAATGTGTACATCCAGCTTGCCCGGGCGATCGCAAGAAGCTGCTCGTCATCCTGAACCCAAAGGCGGGCTCGGGCCGGGCCCGGGAGAGTTTCCAGCGGCGGGTGCACCCGATCCTGTCCGAGGCCGAGCTCACCTACGACGTCTTCGTCACCCGGCACCCGAACTACGCCCGGGATTTTGTGCGCGGCCGCGAGCTCGGCCAGTGGTCGGGTCTCGTCCTCGTCGGTGGCGACGGCATCGTCTTCGAGGCCATCAACGGCCTGCTGCAACGGCCCGACTGGCAGGACTGCCTCGACAGGTTGCCGATCGCGGCCATACCCTGCGGCTCGGGCAACGGCCTCGCCGCCTCCGTCGCCTTCTCCAGCCAGTGAGTTTCACCAATTTTCCTTTGGCTACATTTCTTTCATTTGTTTTTTTTTTTTTTTTTTTTTTTTTTTTTTTTTTTTTTTTTTTTTTTTTTTTTT